TTGCGTTGCGTTATGTTGTGTTGCGTTGTGTTCAGAACAGAACACAATACAACAAACCGGAGAAAACAAAGAGCAAAACAACAACAACATCACATCAGCAACAAAACAACAATAAATTGCCATTTCCCTCTCTACCTACCCTGACGATATCATATCTTCAATGACCTTATGAAGGTTCTTGAAGTATGTAATATTTGTGACGAGGATTAATTCCTCTCCCGTAAAACTTCGGCCAAACGTTATGTTCAAGATGGTTATTAGACGCTCGCACTGTGACAAAACAAAGTATAATGTTATTTAATGAGATATCACATTTAATTACAAACGGTTAGCTAAGGTACCAGGTACTCCAACCCGTTTTCCCGATAATTTGTCCTAAGTCACCTTATGTTGCCTAAAGACGCCAAGCGACCACAGTAATCCTCTAAATTTCCTTAAGTTGTCTTATGACGCCTTTAGATGCCAAGGTTCCTCGCTCAATTATCACTCAATTTTTTTTAAGGCGACTTATAAAGGGACATGGTCCACAAGCAGCCCTTTCGAGCTTTTGCTCATGTTTGAAAATAAAAATGCAACGTAATATAAGCAAAAACTTACTCTTTATTATCCCTATATACCGATATGAATGGAGATACTGTAAGATTCGGCCTTTAAACCGATGGATGGAAACGGATTGCGAATGGATATTCGAAGTCACCTCATTTTCCATATATGAAAAATCTGAAAAACGACCGCATTGAATGCTGGTGGACCATGTCCCTTTAAGACGACTTTCTGTCTCGAAGAATTTTTTGCGTAAACAATAGATTCTTGGATAGCTTTAGTGCTGAAATTTTAGACCAGAGTCAATATATTATACAATTAAGTACCGAAAATCCCGACTTGGCGCAAAAGTCTTTAATCTTTATTCTATGGTCGGTGATTTCCTCTCTCGCCATGATGYTTCGCTTAACAGACTCCATTAGTTCTTCGTCGGGTGTTTTACCAGTTGCTATCTGAAAGAGCAGCCATGTTAGACACAATTAGTTAAGTTGTTCAAAGAATACACTATTATTTTATATATTCGTTTTGTGATTTATGCAAATTTTTTTTGGTAATGTAATTATTATGCTAGGTTTCATTTTCGCTTAAACGTGGTCAAGTTCAAACTCATCTAGAATTCGAGATTTTGCTGCKGCAGATACTTCCAGACWAGGAACGATATYTACATTAAATAACAATAAAATRCAAAGGGATGTTTTGCTGTTGTTGTTTTTTGTATTAAACTGTTGCTGTTCTTACTTTTATAATTGTTGTTGTTTACAATGATGATGGTATTGCTGCTGTTATTGTGACTGTTTTGTTGTTGT